GGGCGTAGCTGTGTCGAAAGAGGGTTTACATCACTGAAAAGTGCCGCGTTGGAACATCGGTACATGGCATGTCATGGGTGGGATCTTGGGGAAATATTCGGGTGCGAAGATGATGGATTTCATCCGCAAGTCGAATGTAGACGGCTACATCCGTCCATAATTAAGGTAGATCTCGCGTATTGAACAAAACAAAACTATTTTTCTCATCACTGAACGTTCTTTAAATGTTTTATATATGGAATTTTGAACGATATCAAGAAAAATAACATTATGTTTCTTTTTCAGAAGAAGCAACCCCCTCTCCAAGTGCTGAAAAGGTGCGTTCTTTTCGGTAAGTGATCTGTTTTCTTGTTAATATAAGTTTATATTTATATATTTAAATCAGAATATGTTGGTGCGATTGATATTGCAGCTGATAAAAATATTATTTGAAGGTTTATTTTTATAATAGTGAGCGTACCGTGTGTTATATATAATTGTTGATGTTCTGGCATGAGTTGCATAAATTGAACCCTTTTTAATTTATTTAAACGACGCGATTTAATTTAAACGACGAATAAATCGACATGAATTATTTCGGCTACTTTTACATTGCGCAATTCTTCTAATTTTCAACATGCAATTATCATTTCAACACCAAAATTTTGAAATGATTTTAAAATCATTGATTCAAATGAATTCTATTCCCAGCATTTTAGCCGGAGCCGAAATTGGAAAGAAAAGGATTTTATAGCAATCCGTCGATAAAGACCTTTCTTCCTTTTAATGTACGTATCAGAATCATTTACAGATATTTGAGAAGTATGTCAGGCAGATACAAAGGATGAGTCTATTAGAAAACACATTTTATGAGTTTGGGAAGCATTATTACAATTATATTGAATTTTTGAACCTGAAGGCTTTGAGAAATGTTAGTTTCCGCTAATGCGAAATTTTATTAAAGGAAATTAGTTCAGAGAAATATAATTTGAAGAGGTACTATTTGTGTGGGCCCACTACAAATCTTCAGTTGGTACTTTTTGTGAAATGAACTTTTGCTATGCAGTCATCAGATAGTACATATAAAAAAAGAGGGCCCTTTGAATGTTATTGGTAATCTTTGCTTTAGTTTCTGTGTGTTTCATCTTTATACGATTTTGGAAAAGTGCAAATTAATTGGGGAAGACATTTCAAGCAATTTCCCTGTCAGTTTAATTATAAACCTGAAACACAGAAGAATATTTTTTGAATTTAAAACATAATTGAATAATATTCTGTTTATCAATTTAGGATCAACGCATGACTTTAAAAAATGCATTCACACACCTATATAAATAATTTATTTCCAACAGCTGAAAACTGAGTAATGCAGTATGTTCAAAACTTTTAAAGGAGTTTTTTGTTAATGTTATTCTATTAATTTAATTTTTTTATTCTTAATGATTTTATTAATGTTTATTTCTTTTCAAGAACTTCACAACCTAATTTGTGAACGATTGTTCAGCTTAACAACAACTCTCTCACATTGTTAATACCCTTGAATTGTAACCTAAAAAATACGGTTCAGTTAGTGCCACGGGTTTGAGCGGAACGAACTGTTGGTGCGTTTTAATTCCACATGGAATTTGGTGGCATTTAAAACAATTTGAAAATATACCCACATACATCTTGCCCCTCATCGAGTAATGCTTGTTCTTAAACGTTTCAAAAGCGAGATTATGATTTGGGAACTGTGTTCAGAACTACATATTTTTGGTTCGTGGGACTTGAAATAATGTTACTAAAATTGAAGTGCATCGCCGTTATTTTTTAAAACATTATATTTTTATATGATTATCATTATTGTGTGACATAAAAACTGGTCTCTCTGATATTCTTAGAATTTCCCCTCCCCCTGAGAAAAACAAAAAATCTAAGATTTGATGATGTTTTTTCTAAAATAATTTTCGGGAATAAAATTGTAAATTTCTATAAAGTACTTATAATTTTGTGTTTAAAAGGGAGTATTATTTTTGTATGAAATCTACAATCTATTATTATGCTTCGGACCGAACAGCCGTGGTTATTGGAAATTTTGCCCAAACGTTCAATTGCACTGGCAGCAGGAAGACATCTTCAGTGATAATGCTATTGGCAATATAAGATTACCTTTGAACAATGACATTCAGAGAAGAAAATAGGTTCTGTAGCATAAAATTTTTGAAAGCTCTCAGTATTTCTTTTCAGCCTTCAACAAATTAAGTCGCAACTCTTTAAGTTTTCGTGTAGAAGTTGAAACTGTGGCAGAACTCTTTTCATTTATTTTTCTTCTTGTTCGCCATGTGGCCTTCAAGGGCTTGGATACATAGATTTTTATGTTAGGAATAGCATCCTTGGCATTTTCGAGCTTGACATCACTCTCCGTTTTTAAGGTTGTTTGGATTTTGGAATTGGATGAATTTATTGTTATTTAAAATTTACATGCTTTAATGTTAGTGGATGTTTAATTGGTTAAATCCATGTGGCTTACGGGGGGCGAATTTATCTTTTCGGGAATTTGGATTTGATAGGCAGGGGGTGCACAGCATTCGTTCCAGGTTTACTAGGTATTTGGGTTAAGTGAGAAATGTTAGTGAAGTATAAAAGGCATTTCGAAATTGTAGAGATGTGATCTTTGTTAGATCATACGTAGCTCCCCAATGTATCCTGGGATTGGGTATAAACCAGGGGATTGTATGATTTTCCTAAGGCATCTTGTTTTGTACCGGTTGAAGTTTCTCTATGAATGAGTGGCTGCATTTCCCCAGAATGGGCAAGCGATATGTTTAGGGTGGGGTAAAATTGTTAATTAAATATATGAGCTGGCATTCGATATTTTTAATGCAGGGATTTTCTATTTATTATTGATATAGTTTTGGACACTTTCCCCCAAAGCTTTATTTACTAATGCAAGGATATGCCGTTTCCATGTTAATCTTTTATGACGTGTACACCAAGATAAATTTAATTGGGCCTATATTATTGAATCGGGCTGCAATTGGATTTTAAGGTAGGGGGCGTTCTTGGTCTACGAAGTGTGAATATTTTCGCTTGCATTTTTTCTGGATTAATTTATTCTCCATGCATTTGTCCACGATATTGGTTTCTTTCCAGATTATTCTGGTATCCGATTTTTGGCTATGAAAATATCTTCATGAGCAGTGAATGCTTGTGTCTCAGCGAAAAGAGCTAATTTGGTGTCTGCCATTCGTGGAATATCTGAAGTGTAAACTTGAATGAATGTGGAGAGAGCAGAGCCTTGAGGTAACCTGCAGATATTTTCGAGGGTTGATAATGTTTCATTGCCTTTTACCATGATAATTTCTGTTAGTCAGAAAGCTATGGATTTATTTTTGGATGTAATCAGGG